CTGGCAGACTCATATGGTTCCTCGCTATCCGAGTCCATCAGCAGCTCAACTGGATCTTGCTGGGCCACAACACTAAACTTAATATTTTTGATTAAGTTCTGATGCAATGCATATTATAAGCAAATATTACTTGTTATAATTCTTACATTTAGAGTGTAGTTCAATATCAATTTCATATTTCTTTTTATAGAACTGGAGAGTGGAGATAATCAACATGATCATTTGTCTTCTGGATCACTACAAATTTAATGAAATTTGAGAAACTTGAACTGATAGTAAAAAAAATATTTTTCAAAAATCTTTATAGACTTGAATCTAGCTTAATAAATATATACTTCCTGTTAGTCTTGGTTACAGAGCTTTTCTCCATTCAAGATAAAATACACTAGTTCTGTTTTTGATCTACAAGAAGAAGAGAGGAAGAAAAAAACCTGCTTTTTAAAAAGATTATCTGACGGTGACCGATTGTTACTTATTCTCAGAAACAAATGGTGCCTTTCATAGAATGACATTCCTACCTCTTTCTATCCCTTTGTCCTCTTGTTTGTAACAAAATAAAATCTTATCAGGAAAAATAAGTTATATATACATTTGGAAGACTAATACAAGTATAAACCGCACAAATAAACTATATGGGATATATTCTATAATATATGCATAATTAAGAATTATTTTCTTGTAAAATGTGGCTTAACTTAAACATGTAAAATATAAGCTGTTCTAAAAGTCTTTTGATATACATCTGAGTGAAAGAATATATGGGTGTGTAATGCTACATAAATTGTCTTCTATTTTAGATGTTTCTTGATTTTTCTTTGTCAGAATTCTATATTGGGTACTTGTAGAATTATATTTCTATTTCAATATTTGGAATATTGCTTAATTGGTTTAATGTGCTAGAAAGCACCAGGGTACCTTTATACAGAAACTGAGAAGCACATCAACTAAACTATATACCGTATTTTTTGAAGTATAAGACGCACCGGAGTATATGGCGCACCAAGATTTTGAAGAGGCAAATTAAAGTTTTTGCACTCTGTAGATCTCCCAAAAATGGGAGGGCATCAAAAAAAAAAAGGGCATGCATAGCCTTTAGGAGGCTTATAGAGTGCTCCTGGGGGCTGGGGAGGCAAAATTGAGCAAAAAAACTGCCTGTTTTTTGCTCGTTTCTGCCCTCCCCAGCCCCCAGGAGTACTTTGAAAGCCTCCTAAAGGCTATGCATGGCCATTTTGGTGAAGGGGCCGAGGTTTCGGGAGGCAAAAAATGCTGTATTCAGTGTATAAGATGCACCCAGATTTTCAGCCTCTTTTTTGAGGGAAAAAGGTGCGTCGTACACTCCGAAAAATACGGTATATCAAATTCAGACCATTGCATTAGTTATAAATAGGACAGGACCTTGGAGGTCTTCTAGTCCACCCCTTGCTCAAGCAGGAGAGCCTACACCATTTCAGATAAGTGACTGTCTAGACTCTTCTTAAAAGCCTCCAGTGATGTTTTATTTAGTAAAGAATTCTGAAAAATATGTGTTCTGAAAACTTCACCTAGGGTAAAAACAAGCTAGATATATGCCACCTTATCAATGTTAATATCTAAGCCTGCAGCTGTCTTCCAAGAAATGTTGATGCCAGGGTTGAAACAACTTCTCACATCTTCAGTGTGTGTAGTTTGAGATTGCCCATGCACAAAATGGTATGTTACTTGTCAGTTCTTTTAACTGGACCAAAGCCATAAATTCTTAAGCCAATCTTAAAATTCTGTTTTAAAGTGGAGCATTTGCAATGCCTTAAATATCACCCATTTTGTCCTGCAACAACTATTTTGCATATTTATATCTGGGTTTATCCTTTTAAGAATTTTGAAAGTAACATAAGAAAACATGGTGAAATTGTATTCTGGGAAAATAGGTTCTGGGAAAAACTATGAAACGTTAAGTTGTTTTTTAATTGCTAAACTAAACTAAATATGCTTCAGCAAAATAGATAAAAGCTTCTGTTCTTAATTGAGGATTTAGGTAGAATTTTAAGAATATATATTTTTTACAATATATTCAATTACAAGTTGGAACTAACTGAAATTTATCTTGGATAAACTGAAAATTTTGTCTATAAAAAATTAAACCCTGGGTGCTGCTGAGGAGTGATGACAATGAAAGGCCGAATTGCAGTGCCTCTTAACAGTTTACTCTCGAGGCATGATGACAAAGTTCCCGAAGCGACCTTTTTATCTGACCTTGGCAGCACCGTAAAAAGCCAAAAGTTATGCTTTCTGCAGCTAGTCCTTTTCTAAATGTTTACAAAGTAAACATCTGTTGCATTTAGGCACAAGATAAACCATGAAGCCTTGATACTCCCCCCCCCCACTGCCCAGAATAGAGAGATCTCAATAGAATCACTGTTAATAAGTGGACTAATACTACTATTCAAATAAATCCTATCTATATTGTTAAATGCTTTTGTCTACTTACAGTTTTAGAATAAACTCCCTAGGAGCGGATTCTGGTATTTGCAAATTTCTCGGGTTTTTTGCTATATTTACCATTGGGCCATTTTTAAGATTCTTTTGATTGCACTCCTAGGTACTATAAAGGATTAGGAATCAAATGTTAAAGATTGTTTTTTCCAAGAAAATTATTTTTAACTACTTTATGATTTTTCAGTGTATTAGCCACCTCTTGTTTCCCACCCTTAGTTTTTCAGGGATCTAGAGAGAATATTGGTAGAAATATGCCATTTTTGCCTTTCTATAAAAAACTTATTTTTTCAAAACTTATTTTTCTGCTACATTTTATATTACATGAAGGGGATTCTCATTAAGATGTTCCTTAATCTGTTCTAGAATACTATAAGTAAATCACAAATTTAGGCACCGTTATTGTATGCAGGCCCAGCATTGATCAACCTGGGGAGGGGACTGTTCCCCCAAAACCTAGCTTGATTTTTACACGTATACCCATTGAGTCCTAACCCCCCCCCCAAAATAAGTCATAGTTAAGACCCCCACCACTCCATTGCACCCAGTGGCATGAGGTGGGATGAGGCCCATGTGTAAAAAGCTAGTGTGGGGATGGGGTGGTGAGCTGCCCCATTTGCCCCGCACCCACTTAACTTAGGACAGTTGCAGCCAGGCCTTGCACGTCCTGCCACCTGCTTCACCAGCACACTTCTGCAGCTACTTGCACATATTGCCCCAACCTCTGTTTCACTGACAGGCCTTTCCTGAAGGCTTTTTCAGTTGAGAAATTGACACAGATTCTCCCCCCCCCCTTCCCAAAAAAAGGCCTTCATTTCGCTGTCACACCTTCAGGAAGTCTCTGCAGCAGAGAAACAAGTTCCATGTTGGCACACACTGTGTCCCTGACCTCCATTTCACCATCAGGCGCTGTCAGAGCTCAGTTTCTTGGCTGCAGAGGTTCTTCCTGAATGCCTCTGATGGTGAAACGGGGCAGGGGTACCGTGTGTGGGCAACAGCAAACACCCGCAGATGTGGGTCAACATAGGCCACACGGGCTCCTGCTGGGTGGGGCTGGTGATGCCACTGCCGTGAGGAAACACAATAAAAGACTTCGCCTGAAAATAAGACCTAAAGTCTCTTGAAGGGAAAAAAAGATGGTCTTATTTGGGGGAAAACATAGTAATTAAGTCAAAATGATTACCATTTGATGACACATTGAAAGTGTCTTCTGGAAATAGAATTGAATTTTCAGAAGACAATTGGCTACAAAAATACCTGGGAGATGAAACAGAAGTATTCTAAATTACATTTGTTTTTTCTGACAAGATTTGAAGTGTCAAAATATTTTAAACTGAATATTTATTAGATACCAAAACATCTGTTTTTGTGATACAAAACTGATTTAATCTTATTCTAATCTGTGACATGTAAAGCTTAATTATTAATCTGATGGTTTATACTATTAGAACCTATTACTGCTTTAAAACAATATTTTATTCTAAGTTATCCAAGGAGTGCCTTAAAAATAAATGTTTTGCCCCCAAATAGCATTAATTTCTCCCATTATGTTTACAGATACCTTTATTTTTTGTGAAGCTTTATTATGGACTATAGTAATTCAGGAGATTCCTCAAAAACTAAAAGGTTTAATTATTTTAGACAGTGAAATAAGACTTAAGAAATCACTTTCAAAATGCCAGTCCTTAATTATCAGAAGCAAATACAGTATTTCACATTAGCAAGATCACTGCCATGATCTATTACTGACACCCACTATTTCCTAATGCATAAAGTTAAATTCCCAGTATTCTCAGCAAATTTCATATTGACTGGAAATTCCTGAGAGTTTAATGCCATTGATCTTAAACTTGCTTAAAACAATCCTAGTTCAAGCACTTGATTAAATAAAACATACCTCTACAAAACTTCCAATAAGCAAAGTGGTCACTCAGAGCATTTAAGTAACACTTTGAAAAAGAAGCATCTTCAAAGGGTGATATTGGCAAGTTCTAAAATTCAATAGCAGCCCTTTACAAGAATGACTTGGGTCCACAATTTATCATTTTTAGTGGGTGATCTATTAATTGGCAATATGTAAGCTCCCAAGTTTTTCAAAAAAAAATTTTTTAAATCTATGGATTAAAAATAAAAATTATCTGGGGCGCAGATAAGAAAAAAATATTTTGCTAGGTAGGTTGGCACCCATTTAGTTCCAGGTTTAACATCAGGTTAATTTACTTGAAATTCAAATTAGTTCAAATTGTTCCATCATCAACAAAAGTTTCAACATAAAGGCATTATTTAATAAAGCATAAACATTTTAATTGCAAGCAACAAAAAAACTATACAGAATTTTTTTTCACACTAATCAAGTAAAAAAAAAAAAAAGTTCCAAATCAGTCTTATTTGGATGTCTTTGTTTCTGAAGGATTTTCACCAGTGTCGAGTGTCTTCAGCAATCGAAAAAGTCCAGCTGCTTCTCTTATCCGGCTGAATTCAATACAAAAGGCTTGTACCTCTATAAATAAGTCCTGTACATTAATTATTTTGTTTCGAATCAAGGATTGCAGGAATACACAAACAAGACGTACCAGCCGATTCTAAAGCAAACAAATAATGGATTTTTTTAAGAAATAGGTTTGAATAATCTTGATATTACTATGGCAAAAAAATCTTTAAAAAAGCCAAGTCATCTCATAATTTATCCAAATTTGCTAATTTTAAATTCTGCAATTAACTGAAACTCCTAATAGCACATAAGTATTTACTGAAACGTTGTCATTATTCCAAAGTTATGCCACTGAAAAGTGATAGCCAGTCCCCATATTTACAATCATTTTGGCATCTCCACAGTCACATGATTAAAATTTAGGCATTTGGTAAACAGCATGTATTTTAGGACAACTGCATCTTGAAGTCTATGTGTCACCATTTGCAGTCTTCCTAGCTGGCTTCCAACAAGCCAAGTCAATGTGGAAAGTTATATTTGCTTAATGATACCATGATTCACTTAATAGCAATGATTCACTTAACAACCATGGCAAAAAAAATAAAAGGTAAGGCTCAATCACCTTGCGTAACAGAGTTTTGGTCTCAATTGGGATTGTAAAAGTGAATTAGAAGTCTTTTGTTCTACTGTTCTGAAAATAAGCCTTTATATTTCCCTTTTTATATCTACTATGTACAACCACAAAATACTATAATTAAATATATGCAAATGCTACATTAGTAGCTTTCTCACAATTTAATGGTGGATTGTTCTTTCTACTCTTTAATAATCCAGACTATGGTAAACAGGCTAATAAATCTGTTTTTATAAAAGAAAACAAATTGTGCTCCTGCCTAGATTCCGACAGCAAAGCATTACATCTCCCACTTTGTTTCTTCTCTTCCCTCAAGTGACAAGAAAAAAGAAACTGATAAGATAGCCATAGCATTTAGATTTATATACCACTTCACAGTGCTTTACAGCCCTCTAAGCAGTTTACAGGGTCAGCATATTGCCCCCAATAATTTGGGTCCTCATTTTACCCACCTCGGAAGGCTGATTCAACCTTGAGCCACTCAGCATCAAACTGTCAAACTGCTGGCAGCCGGCAGTCAGCAGAAGTAGCCTGCATTACTGCATTCTAACCACTGCACCATTAGGGCTCCTCTAGGACCCAATGATCTCAAAGTATGACTAAAGGGTGCTTTTTCTAATGGCCTTTTCCCAAATTTGCCCTATTTTTTTTCTAAGAGTTTACAAATCAAAGAAGTCATTCCAGAGTACTTAGACCCATAATTATATCCCAGTGAAGTTATTTAACAAAATGGAAGATTTGTACAAGAATACGTGCTGATTGATTTTAGTCAGAAATGTTATCTCTGGAGCAGGGAATTAGTGTAATATAGGAATTATCAGAAACAAGTTTCTTGCATGATAAGCAGAGTAGCTAATAGCGAAGTCTCTTAATAGAACTATTAGTTTCTTATGTGAAATTTCAAAAAGCTACTAATTATCTACATAGTGACTCCTATAAGGATGGTGAACGCAGCAAATGACTCATTTATCACCACAATGAAATGCATCAATTGCGCCATTATCTGAAGTTTTAAGATTGGGAAAAAGCAGGAATAGATTAAGTTGTTTTTTCATAAAATTTCCAATTTAGATTCACCTTGAGAGCACTGTCATGGTAATAGATACCAACTGGTTGGTCACCTGATGTCAGTCCACTAGGTAGAAATCAACTCCACAGGTAGGCTGGTTTTATTGAGATAGGTTATAATAAAATCTTGCAACAAATTCTGAAATAGGTAGGCATCTGCCTGAACTACTTCTGAATGTTGTCTCATTGTGGATTTTAACAAATGTTTCACCCTGTTTTCTGTAGGCAATGGATTTTGCATATTTCCATCAAAGTCCTCTTCCTTTTTCCCTTCAGTTAAGGAATGTCTGCATTCATCAAAGTCAGGAAAATGGCATATTAATAAAATCTGACATGCAAGTGGAACATAGGCTCAACAGCTCACCCTTTAAAAGGGAAAAAGTCTGTGGAGAAATCTTCAAACGGGAAGAGATAAATATCAATATAAATATAAATATTTCAAAAGGTTAAAATCCTCCTTCAAATGTAGAACCAACAGTTATGGGCCCTTGTGTTGTTAAAAATATTCAGAAACTACAGGGCTACATTCATCCATCAAAGCAACATTCCCATCCAACCAGAAAGTTCTTTGCAGCAATGACTTTGTATTTAAGCTGTCAATAAACAACATATTCAAGCATACGAATAAACAAATTTATACAGAGATGATGAAATACTCTGTTCTATTCATTGTAGACAAGTATTTAAAGTATAGTGATGAACAGAATTTTGCTATCATGTTTCCATTTTGAAAAAACTGATGACTATTTCTGTGATTTTTGTTTATGCCCTTGGTCTTCTATGTATGCAACAGTATGTATGTTATGCGTAATATGCTGTATGTGAAATATACTAAAAACATAAGCAACCAACTTTTTTTATCAAGAGGGTTTTACAATTCTTAAAACTCTGCAACAATATTGTTTTGGTTCTCCAAGTATTTTACTGTATTTTCAATTACTTTATTCTAAAAGACTATAGTTTCTTTTTGGACTCTTACCTGCATATACTTATCCTTAATTTGTTCACAAGTAGAAATACAATTGGATATATAAAGATGAATAAATTCTGGAGGAAGATCAACTGCTGTAGTGAGCCTGTTGAATATTTAAAAGTTAATTATTTTCCAATTGGCCATCTTTGCTAATATCTCATCTGTCACTTCAGTTCTATCATAACAGATAACCAGTTTGCATAATGATTAAGGCATCAGCCTAGAAATCATAAGACTATGAGTTCTAGTTCCTCACGTGACTTAGAGCCAGTTTAGTCTCTCTCAACCTAACTCACCTCACCATGCCTTTATTAGTTTTATAAATAACACAAGATGATGAACATTTCTAATATTCATTCCTTCTCATATTTTACCCATAACAACTCACAGGATTATAGGTCCTAACAAGTGAAGAGCTAATCATTTTCAACTAGAAAAGAAATTCTGAATGATTATATGTGACTGTTGTCATATTTCTTTCAAAATACTTGCTATATCTCTTTTGTGTTAAAGTATCTAGCATAACTAGCAATATTATTATTAAATGTTACTATACATAAAATGTTAAATAGTTAAATGTACCAAAATAATATGCTGTGCTAGAGGACATGGAGTAAATATAATATCTATACATCCATCCTTCCTCAGAATGCAACTAAATAATAATTATTGGTTAGATTATGGATATATGAATATAGTTCACATCAAAATATTCCATTTAGAATGTTATCTTTCCCTTCATCAAGGGAAAGGAAACTTTGCAATCTTTAAAAGAATGAACAATTGTTTTCCGACACACCATACAATGCCATTACCTCTACAGTATGTTTGAGTATTGGCATTTTATAAACTGAATGTAGTCCAATATTACATATGAATAGTTACTATGTTAATCATGGTACCAAAAAGAGTAAATATCCCTGAAATTTATCTCAAAGAATCACCAATACAAATTGTCTTGATATTATAAAAAATACACTAAGTTAACTGTCTCTGAGTCCAATTAAATAACTGCATGTGCCTTATTAGGATATCACTTTGAGGCAAGACTCTTTCTTATAAATTCTCATTCCCCCAATATTCCTCCTCCCATGCATATATACAAGATCTGCTCTATCCTATTATAGTATCTAAAACTGAAATCAGAACACCAATGTAAGCTTAATTATAAAGTACCTCCCATAATCGCCATGAATTAGCCATAAATATAGGAAAACAATGACATTACTAGAGTGGATAGTAAACTAACCTATAGTTGTCCTAATATCTCAAAGGGTCAAGGTCTTAGGATTTTAGATTATATTCTAAACTGCAACTTACTTTTCCACACAACCTGTGAAAATCAAATTATAGGTAGTCTTCGGCTTAAAACCATTCATTTACTGACCATTTTAAGTTAAACTGACACTAAAAAATATGACTTTTAACTGGTCCTTACACTTATGCCGCGTCCCCATGGTCACATGATCAAAATTCAGATGCTTAGCAACCAGTATGTTTTTATCATAGTTGCAGCGTCTCAAGGTCATACCAACATCTGCAACTTTCCCAGCCAGCTTCCAATAAGCAACATATTCACTTAACAACCATGTGATTCACTTAACAACTGAATCACCAGTCATAAAATTGGGTGAAATTAACTTACCAACTGACTTGCTTAGCAACTGAAATTATGGTTCCAGTGGTAAGTTGAGGACTACCTGTACTCCATTAATAAAATCATTCAAAGTATAATTTTTTAATGGAAGAAAACTGTGATGGAATTTTGTAAATGTTCATGTAGATGTTGAAAAATCAAGCTTGTTTAACTAAATATATATATATAGTAAAAAAGAATTTTACTTACCGATTTACAACTTCCATTGAATGTAGAGACATGTCCATGTTGACTAATACTGAAAAGTACTCAGTTATCTGACTTGATTGCATTAATTTAAGCAGCATTTCTATAGCTACTAAAGGATTGTTTTCCACCAGATCAGGCAATTTGGCAGGAGTGAGACCAATATGGTAAACAAGCTTAGGATCTTTCTCCAATTCTCCAAGAAGCTGCATTTTAAAAATGTAAAACAGTTTAACTATTAACAATTAAGAGATTACTTTCAACTTAGTTTATTTATCTAAATTGCTAGTTAAAATAAAATTATAGAAATATCACAGTAATTATTGACAGCCAATATGGCATGATGTACAAAAATGAGGGAGATTGCCAGAAAAGGTTTTTAATTCTATTGCTTGTAAAAGTGATTTCTGTTGAGCTAATAGTTTAAGCATTCATATTCTATTTGATAAAATTAACCCAAGGTCCAAACCTTAAACAAGTACAAAAATCTACAAGTCAGCAATTTAAATAGAGTCTCTCGGGACTCTATCCCCCATCTGAAGCCAATAAAAGTCATATGAAGCTTTAGAGATGTGCCATAGATATTTTGAATTTAAACTCAGTCAATATGAAATTAAATAAAAAACAATTTTTTATTTCAATAAATAAAACATTTCAAGTTATTAACTGGGTTTTAGTCTTATCTGGATGATTGTGCTCACTATAGCCAGATTATACTCCTAGCTTTGCAGGTTGTAGCTATGGCAAGAAGCACTCTGAAAAGTTTAGGAAACTGCAATTGCTTCACAAAGTGGCTGCTAGACTAGAAATTAGTGTAAGATAGTGCTGCTCTGGATTCATGATCTCAACTATGGATCTCTTTTTTGGCACATTTTATGTTGACATTAAGCCATAAACCAGTACAGCTTGGTAACCTGAGATACAACCTCTCAATTATAAACCTATCTGGATATGAAGGACTGTAGAAAAGCTGTTCTTGAAGATGCCCGTGTGTTTAGTCTGTTTACAGGATACAAAGAAAATGGCCTTTTCTGCAATTGTTTATTCTTTCATCAAATTTAGCTGCATGTAGATTGCATTAAAGTAATCCAACCAGATCTGGCCTGTCAAACTGGCAGCCCCCAACTGTGGGCCCAGATATGGCCCACAGAGACCATACCCACCCCAACTCCGCAATGGCAAAAAACATTGTGATACATCATGATACGGCCCGCGATGCAAGCTGGTTTGACACCCCTGAACTAGATGGTGACTAGGTTGTCTAAGTGACTGAGTAGAACCTCTCAACCTAGGAATGGGTACAATTGGCACCCAATACAAACTTGAGTAAAGGTCTTTACTCAAGTACCACCTGCTGTTTGAGCAGAAGTCATGAGTCACTGTGATGAAATATATGAATGATCTTGCAGAGAGGATCTGTGTAGGAAATGTTTTTACTTTTTGATGTGGTTACTGAACTGTTAATTTTATATCATAATTTTGGGGTCCTAGTAAACTTGAGCTAGCTTTAATTTAGTTAAAATTAAGATATTATTTTAATAATAGAATTAAACAAGTCAGCAGTTGACTTCATACCTGTGTTTGTTGCTGTGATGACAAAGGACTTTTGAATGCTTTGGCCATGATTCGTTTGATTTCCACTCCGGCACTATTTTTAACACACATTGACTTATCCCACTGAATTGTATGATCTGGCTCTATTGGATTTAACCAAGCTAACTCATCTTCACAAATATGGAGAGGTGGTGGTGGGCGGATAAATTCTGGTCGAAAATGACCTGAAAAATATATTACATTCTTTTTAAAAAAATCTCTTAAAAGTCAAAATATTTATCCAACAATCAAAATATTCCCAAATATATTATCTGTTTCTATGTTATATTGTATATAATACATTATATTATTCTTTATAGTTTACATTGCAATATATAGTATAGCGTACTTATCCATTCTATAAATTGACAATATCAAGCATCTAGACCAGCATATCTATTGAACCTAATTTTATATAAAACGGCATATTTTTTGCAAAGGTATGTTTTACAGTACTCTCCAATGCCAATTGGGATAGTAATAAAATAGTAATATGTCACCATGCCATTGTGTCTAACAAAGCTATATTTTGGAAAAGTAAAGCATAAGGAACAGAATTTAAGACCATTAAAAAAACAACATGATTCTAAACAAAATATTATACAATATAAAATTTGAACGGTAGAATATAGTGAAGATTCATGCAAAGTCAATATAGTAGCTAAGACACTGTTCCACGTTCAACTTTAAAAGCCATAATGGAAACCATGCAACCATCTTTTTCTTACACCCTGCTTTTCAAACTGAAGGATTACATTCATATGAACAACACTAACTATAAATACCAATTTCAAATATAGAAATGAACAGAAATAAAGAATGGAAAATAATATGATTATTTAATTCTTATGTTGTAACTCTGTAAAGGATAACCTAAAATCATGCATACTTTCAATAGGTGGTTTTGGTCCACTCACTAAGGCTTCAATAATCTGGGATGCAACAGAGCTGTCAAAACCAGAATTTGAAGAATCTGGATCAGGATCACTGAGAATGCTAGGAAAGCTAGCTTTACTTTGTGTTGGTAGCTCAGACTGACGTTCTGAAAGAAAAATTAGATTAATTCAATTTCAGCATCCAAAATCTTGAATCACAAGAACAAGAATAAACTTGTTGACAAATCTACACTATTTCTGTTAATGAGAAATTGGGATTATCTGTAAAAATTAGACACCAGGCCAGAAAGTAGGAGACCATGAATTCTAGTCCCACCTTAGCCAAGAAAGCCAGCTGGGGGACTTGTGCCAGTCACTCTCAATCCACATCACCTCACAGGATTGTTGTTGTGGGGAAATTAGAAGGAGGCAAGTCTATTTACCACCTTCAGATATTTGTAAAATAACTACAAATACAAATAAACAAATTATTCCTTCTTTTAAAATACAAAACTCTTAAACTCTAGCAGCTCTTTGGCCATACTATATTATTTTTAAAGATAAAGCTGAGTTTCCAACAAGCAATTATTGGTGGACAAAATAGTTTATACAAATTATTCCATAAATACTCAGTTTCTTGGATTAACAAGATGATTCATTATCACATCACTATTAGTATTTTGAGTTTCATAACACATTCTGCATGTTCTATTGTTCTATTGTTTATACCTCTTAAGACCTGAAAACCCTGTGGTTCCTATTAAGTAACAATGTTATTCTTAGCCTTCATACAGCATTCTTCATAGCTGAAAAGGAAACATTTTGTCTCCACCTATTATATTTATAAAACATCAAATCATTCCACTATACTTTTTAAACTGTAAACTTGGCATCTGAGAATCAGTCAGTCCCAGAGCCAAAGTTTCTGAATAAAGCGGTACCTTGGTACCCTTTGAAATTAATTGAATTTGGTACTCAAGACATTTTGATGCAAAAGATTTATCACAGTACTCTTTGTACTGTGCACAAGCTAGAACTTTAATGTCAGTTGTCTTGTGACTCTCTACATTATTCCTTATGGGGAAAAATTGTTTGGTATTCATCGTTTTTAGTAATCATCGCACCTCTGAGAACCAATTAATTATGAGTGCTGAGGTACCACTGTAGCAGTTAAATGGTAACCAATTTGCTGACAGCTAGATATAGAAAAAAATCTAATCTTTACTGTCTGGAGACAGACTTATATACCACTACTGTTTATAACAACATTTACTTTTAAAAGGACAGACTTAAATATAAAAAATAAAATGCAAGCATGTAATTTCTGTAGTGGCCATGTTCAGGGTTAATTTTTAAGAAGGGTTTTGATCGTGTCAGTTTCATTCTAACATTCAATATATTATTTTTAAGTTAATTCCTATGGAATTAAGTTCTAAATATTAAGCTTAGATCACTCATCCCAAGATACAGTGACCAGTTACTTTTTTAAACCTCAAAAGAAAGAGAATGAATTTAGCCTGCATCCTATAATGTATATTGCAAATAACTGCTTATAGAATGGTCCATCAAATCTAATTTACTATTATAATGTGTGAGCTATGCTTATTGATATAAATGGTGTGACACTATTATCCATGCCTTTCTCACACTTCTGATAAAGATTAGAAAAAATTAAGCCCAATTACTTACACTATATTTTCTTTAGGTGAAAGGCAAGTAACCAAGTTAGCCTTCAGGGAAAATAATCATCAGAGCAATTTATTTTACTAGGTCCTTAAGGCCACAAAAGAAGCATGGAAATTTTCAAGTTCTCTACAGCTCTTTGAGAGCAAAAAGGTAAATAGAACAAATAAAGTGTCAGATTTTCAAATGACCAGGTCTACTAAAATATCTAACTAATAATATAAGAATCAGATTAAAAATTAAAGTTGTTCATAGTTTCATTCACCTTTATAAAAATATTATCAGAATAGATTCTAATCTCAGTATGCCCATAGTATTGATTGAAATAAGTTTCAAGTCAGCTTGCTACAAGGAAGAGTTTGAAAATTTCAAGTTGATAGCAAGGGTCAAAAGCTATTTCTGTTTTTTTTAATCTAAGGATGCAACCTCAGAACCAGCTCAATTATAATTCTTCTCTAAGCAGGGAAAATGAAGTGAATCTCACTTTGCACCCATGAAATATCTCTATAGTCAACAATATTAGCATAAAATTCCATATATGAGTTCTGGGGGAGTGGGAACAAGTGTCATCTTGATACTTTTGTGATTTCGCCACAAGGGAAAGAAAAACTGGACAGCTTCCTCACACATCTCAACAGCCTACACCCCAAAATACAATTCACCATGGAAATAGAAGCAAACAACCAACTTCCCTTTCTGGACATCCTAATCTACAAGGACACATCATCTACTGGAAAAAAACACACACCAACTGCTACTTAAATGAATTTTGGCTTAACTATAC